AAGATTTGAAAGAAGAATTCTTTGTCTTACTACTATGAATTGTTGTTGCCTATTAACAAAGTTTGGTCAAATCGATGACTGTTTTTGGCTTAAATTCAAGAGAAACCTTACGACCAGTTCAAAGAGGTTGTGTATCTAAATCTTTCCAAAAACAACTCTATCTGTTGGATGATAACAATGTCAATATAAAAAGATGTTCAAATATTCTTACGAATTTTACAACCACAAGATTCACATAAGAATATGTCTTTGGAAATTTCATAACTTTAAGTATCTCCAACAAAAAATCAAATCAAATAAAGATCAGAATAAAAGACTTGATCAAACATAATGTAGAAACCTTGTATATAATCTCCTAGTTTTAAGATTCACAGTTACTATTGTTGTCATTTAATGTATATTAAACATTACAAAATTTGATGTATTCTTTACTTTATAGTATACAATTTAAACATTCCTTTAACTCATTCAAACTACGTTGGAATATTCTATATAATCTTTTCAATTATTTTTTTAAAACCTACAAAGTTTTGGTTTGAATATCAAAGTAAAGAATTGTATGGATAACAATAGTGAATGGTTTATTTCTAACGTATTAATAAAAACCAAAGTTTTTTCACAATTATTTTAATTTGAAATATAAAATTACATGAAAGAAAAAGAAAAAAAGCTGTAGGATTACTAACTTCAAGTTGGCATGCAGTGTTATTTGTGTTTTCTTTGATTGTAAGATTATCCATATTTATGTTCCTTTTATAATTTAAATAGTATTCATTTTTATTATATATATTTGTATGTATATACTTTCTTTTTTCTGTTGACAAAAGTAAGGAAAAGACAATAATGATATCCAATTTAATTTTGAAAATAATAATATAATATAAACAATTTCAATAAAAAACTATTGATAAACTATGCAAGCAATAATTACTCATTTGTAAAAAATATTGTAAATCATACAGAATGTAGTATTACGCTCAAGATATTTTTAAATTCACATTATAATAGTTAAATTTGGGATTAAAGGCCTAATTTCTGTAGTTTTCAATTAGAATTAATGTTCTCCCAAGCAAATAAAGGACTAAAGAAAACTTGGATAAAAAGAAGGGCAAATAATGTGGATTCTGATTATTTTTCTTTTGGTAGAACAACAAGCAAACCCACTAATAATAAATAAATGAAGTATTGATAGGCTATTCATATGGATGTGCCAAGGCTCAAATGGTGCCACGTTACAATATAATTCATTCCCACACTACATCACAAGATGAGATAATCACAAATGTAATGACATTGTTGGTAATTATTCTAATAAACTTCTACAGCTTCTTTGATGTATAGAAAATGCAATAAATAAATAAATAAATAAATAAACAAGAAAAAAAAAGGCAAATTGTATAACTTTAGTGAAATAAATATAAAAGCTAGTAGTGAAAAGAGTCAAAGGGTATTGGGAGGGATGAGAATCCATTCAAATCGCCCACAATCTTTCCAAACCGGTAATATATATATATATACTACTACTACTGCTTATTATTATTATTATTATTATTTATAATTATCCACCAACATCTAGTTGCCACGTTGATGGGTGCCAACGCACGAAGCATCACATGCCACGTGTACCACGTGGCACAATCCGCGTCTTCCTCGTGACACGAGTCATCAAATGAACGCTCCACGAGGGATTCGTTTGAAAAGGTCGGACATTGGTCACGTGTCCAACACGATCCCACCTCACGACCGGGCTGCTGAGCTGGACCTCCATCTGGCGGGTCAGCGAGTGCCACCTGGACAACTTTTGACTGTAGCCGGTATAACGAGGATTATCGTTGCTGATGGAAGGCTATATCCAATCATTGTGTGATTACTTTGTTGCATTATATACGTTCCCTTCAAATGGAATAAAATAAAATCAAAATGCTCATGGGTTTTAAGTTTTTGTCGTGCAACAAACAGTTTCTTTACAATGTGAGATTGATTTTTCTACACATTAATCTTTTTACTCAACGGCCAATGTTAAATTTGGTTATGCATTAGTTTATTATTTTAAAGCAATGAGACATTTTGTGACTTTAATTTAGATTTCAGTGATTGAAGTGCCATTGGAAATCTGTTTAGTTATACTAATGATGGGTTATTGATTTACCACATTTCTCACCGAAGCTGTTAGTTAGTGGAGCCCAATGGTTTAAAAGAAAAGTGTCTTTTTATAATTTTGAATTCAATACATGGATCTGATAAATTTGGCTTATTGGGTGCATGATAAAGTTCTTTAAGGTGGCAGTGGTAATCAATGTGTCTAAAAGCCTAACCAAAAATAAACAAAATCTAGTATCCTTGTAAATTAAAAACAAATTAAAATCAAATTAAATACAAATTTAAATTATTATCTTTTTTATTTGTGCCGCACCAGAAAAGCCTTCACTTCCCCTTACTATTCCAAAGAAATACAAGACATAACTATAACATTTACAACTTCAATAGTACTATACATAATAAATTTATACTTATAAAGTAATCATTTTTTGAAGCTCATGTCTGAAATAATATATATATATATATATATATATAAATACATACATTTTTTATATTAAATTTTTCATACAACTATACATTTAGCGTTTGTGAAAATCTTTGTTCATTGTTCTTCTTGATTGGTTTAGTAATGTAAAAATAATAAAAAAAAATTAGGTTTTTTACTTATTTGATATTCAATGTTTATAATGAATTCCAGTATAAGCTTAATTACTGCATTATTAAATGTAAGACAGATATTGAGTAGATCAAACTAAATGAACTACTTAATCTTAATGTTATAAACCATAATAGTTTTTGGAAACAATAAGCTATTACAAAAGTGTCTTATAAATGTCTTTATATTAATATTAAATTTCAAAACCCACTAAATTTTTTATCTTCATTTTCTCCCTATTTTATTAATGTTTGTAAAAAATATATGTGCTTTTTGAATGAACCTTATTAGCTTCTGTCTAGGTGGTATAAAAAATTTATTATTTCCTCAAGGAGACTGATTCTTCTAACTACACAGAGTTCCTAAAACAAACTGTACTATTTATAAAAAAATAACTGTGTAAATGCATCATATATTGTAGCATCATACACAACATGTGGTGCTAATTTAAAACATAATGACATTGCTTTAATACATATTATGTAAGAGAAAAACTACAACTATGAGTTTAAATACTTGGTGTTTACTGATAACAAACAATTTGATGCAAGAATAATTTGCTAAAGATACTTCAAAAAAATGTAAAAATATAATATCAATTACTTTTTTAAAAAAATATTTACGTAATTTTTACAAATATTTTTCTACTGCACTATTTGATTATTTATTTTAACAGTTACATTTATTTTAAAATAAATTACAACTTTTTCTTCTCCAATATACACATTTTAAATTATTTAGTAAATAACCGAAGCAAATTGAAAAAAAATAAAAAGGTGATATTTTCTTCCAATAATGTAGTAAAAAAATTATTTAAAGAAGAATTTTTTTTTTCATTTCTCAAGAAATATATAAAAGATTAAAACACATTCAAGTTAACAATGAAAGTGCAAAAAAGGGACCAAGCACAGGATCATAATTTATCATTGAAAGTAAATGAAAAAAACACTTTGTGACATAATGTATATGTAAAGTGGCATGTAATTTACAACTTTATCCACAATGTAGGTTTGAATTTCAATATCTAAGCTTTGTTAGAGCAATGTAAGAATATAATAGTGTTAGCTGTAATAAAGTTTGCACATTGTAGTATTAACATAAAAATCCTAAAAGCATGTAATGAATAGTTTTAAATATTAACAATCAAATGAAAGTAATACTTTCCACGTTTTGAAGAACCTTTGCACACATATTAATTGTTTGAATTTGAAATATTAATATTCATGTGTTTATATTTTAGTTTATGTAAGAGTGAGTAATATAATGTGGGTTGTGATCTTAGGAATCGTCAACATTCTACCTTTTCTTTTGATTGACTTTTTTTTCTTTTTTTCTTTTTCAATTATATTTCTTTCCATGTTTGCCTTAAACATGTGGAGAGCACATAAAAGAGTGCAAGTAAGAGGCAGAGAGGTGACACACATGGTCATGCTATTGAAGCCCAATGGATTCATAAATGACCCTCTGAATTCATCCATCCATTCAGTCACCAATTCATCCATTCGTTCATCGTCCGTCCATCCATCCACCTTATCTGTTGCCTCTATTCCTTAGATGCACCTCCTAGAACTCTCTTTCCATGCTACTCTTCAGTTACAACTTCAGCCCCTCACTTATGGTCTCTGCAGCAGTGTATATTCATATAATTTAATATTAAACTATGGAATATAACCTACACTACATTTTGCTTTTGAAGCATGATTGTTACTTATCTTGATGATGTTCAAGCAATAAGCCACTGGAAATCAGCCGGATTCCAGATTGTGTCGTTGGTTAGGGTTGGCATGATATGAAGTTCAACACAAGTGAAGACCTGAGCTGCTGGACAGAGATGAGCTTCGGCTGGGCTCATGGAAGACCCCCGTAAGCCAAAAATCCCCTAGTGAATCTCTCTCATGCTCCTTATAAATCTCCCTCGATTCATTTCCTATTCATGCTACGAAAATTGGATTTGATTCAAAGAGATTGTTTCCCTATTATTAGCATCGACCCCACAATAAAGTGTCCACCTGACTTGGACTTAGACTTCCTGGCCCATGCAAATGGATTGATTGATTGTTGCACCCACTATAATTAATCACCCACCAACCCTAGAAAATATGCGAACCCTATAAAATGGATATACATGCTTCGTGGGACTTCTGAGAATGTTTTTTCTTTCCTGTATTTGTGACATCTCATGGAACTTGACGTCACAATGAAGTCTTCTTACCACACATTTACATATCGTCACTCACTTTCCACCCAAAACGATCATTGAATAATATACCAATCTCGCTTATTTCTGATGAAAGAAGCATGATAATATCAGTATAAAATATGATTTCTTAATTTATTATAAAGCAGAATCGACAAGTATAAGGGGGAACACATTTATGTAGAGAACAAGTGAATCTTCTGCAACGTCGTGAAGAACACCTGGTAGATTTGCTAATTCCATGACCAGGAAGTGCCGTATGATGTATGCAGTACAGCCCCCTTGCGAATGCTAATCTTCACACGTCTCAAGATCTCATTGAACGCGGTGGGAAGCAGGCAAAGGACTCACCCGGTTGGATGGACCTCCAACCTCCACCTCAGCCACGTAACGTCATACGATTTAAAACCAATTTGCAAAGATCTGATGGTGATGTCAGGAAACCCACTGCGAGCATATGTACACACATATTGCACCTCTCAGCAGAATCTAACCTTGCGGACCGGCAAGTTCACTGCAGAACAGAGATCTCCCGGCAGAGACAGTGAGATCGCCTCAATCCACAGAAGATTTTTAACCCCACCGAAGCGCAGGCGCCGTCCGCTGATTCATTACCCTTTTTTCACCTTCTGCGCCAAGACAACTCACCCTGATTAGTGTCAAAAATTTATAACCGAGGACGCGCGGTTGATTACCTTCAAAAGTAAAAATAAAAATCAGATGTAGAGGTTTCCGTTACTAGATCTTGGTGCTGAGACGAATCCACCCAAGAATGGGCGATCGGGGGGAATGAATTTCGGGATATCGTGTCCATCCACTCCGAAGGGATCGGGCAGATCTCCAAAATGTTTCCCGCAACTGTAGGGGCGAAAAAGAGGTATGAGTGACTCTCACGGCGGAAAGGGAAGAAGAATTAACTGAATAACCTCTAGTCTTGTGTCCTTGCTCCCACTGGACATTCAACCCGCCGACTGCGCATATGCAACGGAGGTGGCTACCGATAATGTGTGCAGACCCAACACAGTATGCCCAGCTTTAATCAGAGCAAAAAGATGTTTATTTATTAGAATTAGGGTTTCATCCGCGGGCCGCGGACCTCTCACAAAAACCCTACAACGATAGCTTTCATCCCCTGGATGAAGATAAAACATTACGAAGTTCATCCGCAAGTACATCTTGGGGGTAAGGGATTGCACGAGCACCTGAGACGCCCCTCTGCGGGAACGTGTTCCCATCAAGGAACGGGCTGAGATGTTCGGTGCGGCTAGCCCTACGTCATAGTTGATGACGTGTGAAATCATGGGTTTCAGCGTAGGTAGAGGTGCCCCCTAAGTTAGCGACCCCCTAAACTTGGCTGGTTTGGCTCCGAACCTGCCCAACTGCTCTGATCACGTGACCACAAAATAAATATAACTGAGGTCTGTTGGCCGATGGTGGGCTCCGCATTTGGGCAGTGTGAACGGAATCTCTCTCCGTGGTCGAGTATATTCTACAACATCTTCTTTGGGTTGAGTTGTGTTTGTGTGGATTTGATTTCCTTTAAAAACTCTGACTCGGTGTTTCGTTTAATGGGTGTTGTTATAAGAATCGTTCTTCGTTAGTACTATGAATGAAAATACGAGAATGTGGGTCATGCATGTAATTAACGAACAAATCAACAAACTTGTTACTGGACTTGCATATGTTCCATTTCAACTGTTTTATTTTTTGAAAAAAAAAATACATGAGATATACATATTTTTTAATGTGTTAAAATATTACTCTTTTTATGTGCAGTTTTTATTTTTATTTTATACGCTCATTAACCTCTACTAAAGCAAAGTACATGTGTTGAAAAGAACTGCGAGTCAATCACACATTTATGATTTTATGAGGTTTACCAGCGCAAAAATCAAAACAATCGTATCAAATCCAATATCGGATCACACTTTATGCAAATGAAAATGAAAATTTAAAACATTCAAACATGTGCACATTCATATAAAAGTTGAGTTGCCATATATCATCTATGTCATATTATGATAATTTCTTCACAGCTACGGTAGTATTGATGCTCTAAAAAAAATAAAGTATACTTTCACTAAAACTATGTTGGAAACGAATCACTCATGTGTGTTTCTATGAATTTGGAGAACCGTCTGCTGTATTTTTTTACTCAGCAATCTTCAACATAAGAGAGCTTAGTTGCTATGTTTTACAGTCATGTTTTGTATCAATATTCAATGCTTCTAAATGTGTGTGCAATCGTTCTATGTTTATCTAATACTGTTTAGGAAAAGCAACTTAAAGGCAATTACGTGTTCCAACCTTTGGGAAACAAGTTCGATGGAATTGAGAAACCTTGATGTCAGCACCCATAATTTATACGAAAAAAATCAATCATAAGTTTTATTGCAGTATTGACTCTTTATTTTCGTAATGGAATCTAGGTCGGTGAATACAGGATTTGAATACTATTTTCAAGGGATTCAGCAAATAGTCCAAATCGACTTCCAGACAGAAGGATAAAACAAAACCTGCTGTCGCTTTGGACACCAAAAGCGCCCTAACTATTTGGCTTCTCATGCAGCAAACGACACTTGAGATTGAGGTTCAATGCAAGCAAAGCCATTATTTCATGATTTGCATCATCATCATTTATTTATTTATTTTTATATTCATATTCTCTGTGTGGCGATACGGTGGGTGTCCTGGTTCACACAAGAAGGTAAGCGTAGCAAAAGAATAAAAAATAAAGTACTAATTAACAAAAAGTGGGTCGGAAGAACTGGAAAAGAGTTGACCCAGAGAATCAGATTGCAGATCCCAGATTGCAGAGCTGGCCTTTCTTATTCCATATTTAGCAAAAAATATATGTATATTATATAATCCACTCATGCCCAAAGAAGTGGATAACTAAAAGGGGCAGGGTAAAGCCAGTGGGTGGGATGTGCTACCCAAACTTTTTGAGGCCATGACCTTTTAGGGCTTCTCGTGTACTTTGTGGGTAACTTTTAAGTCAAAGCTGGCAGCAATTGACCCTGAAGGCTGCGTTGTACTACTCGGGGTTTTATCATCCATCGTTTGGGATGAATGAAAACCAAGGGTGACTCGACTAGTAGTTCGGAAGCTTCTGTGTTGGCTTTTTGCAGTAACTTAACCACTTTCCACTGACACGTGAACGAGGAAGGCGATTCCACTAATGGATGAACGTATGAAGAAGCAGAACTTATATTAGAGGATTTCAATTGGATGTAAGATTTTGTAGCTGGGGTTGTAGTAATTTGTCCTTTCCAGTTCTCTCATTAGATTGTCTTTTAATAGAGACCCAAGGGAATGACCGGCGGGGCAAGTATGGCCAAAGCTCAACAAGCTGCCACATGTGCAAGACAACCGTATCCCACTTCGGAAATGGGTCGTGACAAAACTAAATAACAAACCAACAAAACCCCCCCACAATCCTATCACAACCCTACCAAATCCCAACTCAATCTCCATTGCATGTTCTCCCTCTCTAAATACCACCCTCACATTCCACATGCACCCATTTCACCCCTTTCAACCATAGTCATTATGTACCAACAGCGGTGGTGGTGAGGTAACAATCCCTGTATAAATTTCCTCACCTCGACTGGAACTCATGAGCTGAATTATTCAGCAAACATATCCAATACAAAAACCACGAGGAAAGTCCCACATTCGGAACGGAATTCACATTTCAACGTGGTTTAATATGAGGTGATTACCGAAGAGGTGGGCTTGAGAGTGTGGATGAGTGACGATCAACGGAGATGGAGAAATGAGAGCCGAGGTCGAGAGATCGCCCGCAACGAGACCAAATCCGGGAGCGGAGGGGGTAAATGGGGCGAAGAGTCAAGTTTTTGTCCTCTAGTCACCACAACAGTGGGATTTCCGCGTGATTTTCTCCCCCGCGATCTGTCGCGTTCCTGAGCCTTTTTGTCGCGTTCTGAGTAGAGCTTGTCTCCTCTGCATACCCTTCCAACGCTCTCTCGCCTACTCCTCTGTCTTTTGCTCACACTCACTCACTCGACCCCTCGCAGCAAAACAGGGGAACTCAAACTCCATAGTCCCGTCCCCCACCCCACCCCAGTCACTCTCGTCGTCTCGCTGTGCTTTTGCAAGTAGCGCATCTTTTCAACTTTCATCATTGTTCCAAACGCCTGACGTCACGTTAATTTTTCTCGCCCTCCTCCGGCCCTGCGTAACATATTCGTGTGTCGTTGCTGCGTTATGTTTTAAAAGACTTTCTGTGCAAATAGAGCGCTTCTTCGTTCGCATTTTTATGCTTGATATAGGGCCGTGCTGCAAGCATTGGGAATTGCGTGCGAGTGTTGTGTCGTGAGATTGTAGTACGTGTGAGGTCTTGGAATCAGGTGTGGACGAGGACTGTCACTTAAGTGGTTGGCTTCAGCCCTGGTATCTGGTTTTTGCGATTGAAAAGTGGATAGTGGTAGTGCTGATTCAAGAGCGTTTTGGATTCGCTATTTGAGAGTGAAAGTTTAAGGATCAAGAGAGCGTTTGTCTTGGTGAGGGCGCCTGAGTAGAGGCTTCTCTGTGGACTTGGTGTTGTTTTGTAATCGGGTTTGATGTTGTGAATGATCTGGTGAGGGGTATAGGCTAAATGGTAAAGTAGGTCACGCATTTTGATAATCCCTGTCACTAGCGGTACTACCTTCCGTGAAGTGTCTCTTGGTTGAAGAGGTGAAAGGGGAGGTATTTCTGTGTGCGAAGTATTCAGCGTTGTGGGAGTTTTTGAGCCCGACGCTCACACCCTTCGATTGGTAAGTCTTTGTTCCCGGCACGCACTCTTTAGTAATCTCCGCTATGATTTTAAAGCCTTTTTGCTATCCTGCCTCGTCTCCCCGTTTTCCACTTTTAAATAAAATTGTAGCTATTTTCTTTGATAATTGTTTGAATGCTTGTGCATTGAAACTTTGTACTGCCGCAAAAGTAATAGTTATGGTTGTGACTTCATACGACAACCCTGTTTCTACTGGGAGCCGAACTTCTTTGTCTTGTCACACGTATCACTCGTTTGTTCATCGTCAACTTCAGGTGTAAAGTGCGCGTTGGTCGACTGTTTTATATCCATAGTATGCTATGTAGTCAGGCTCCTGGTTGCAGGCACAGCTTTTCGTGTTGCCTTAGACCAGAGTTCTGCTGAAATTTCCCCCAATAAATACTCGAAGACAGTGTTGCGATATTGGTTATGGATCTGTCTAGGTTGTGGCTCCGCTTCGTGGCTTTGCACAGCACGGACGGTGATGCTTGGCATTGCAACTGCATCGATATAAACAGTTTCTCTGTGGAGTTTGGAATTTTCCGTCATGTCAATACTTGATGAAACTTTAAATTTTGTTTCATTTTCAGGAAAGAATGGCTGCACACGTACCACCTGGCATGTTTTAACAAGGTTTATTTGACTGAACAGATTCTGATTCTGTAAAGTGAGTGAAGGGTCCGTGAGACCTCTTTCACAGTTAACGGCTTCTCCTCGGGCTTTGAGGCTGCGATCATATTTCCTACTGTGAGGCTTGTACTGCATCCAGCCTGTGAAGTGAGTCTCGAAGCAACTCAATATGTATTGCCATGGATGCTATTATCAGTAACGAAGAGGAAGTTTGTTAACGTCAAGACAACCAGCGAGTGTGGAGTATTGTGTTATGGAAGCCTTGGTGCAGAGTGTCAGCAACTTCGAAGGCAAAATGGAGTCCGGAATGCTTTCCTCTTACCATGACTTACCGTGGAAGGTACTGTTGCCCAAAGAGCGTGCCAAGGTGCAAAGTAAATGGAAGGCGAAGTCACGGAAAGTTAGAGACCAGGGAAAGCAAATGAGCGCTGGAGTTGGCTCAGCCAAGACTTGTGAAAGCTCCACACACACTGTTGGAACAGGGAACCAGAAAGTTGAACCCAATAGTCATGATCTTCCTCCCGTGGAGAACTCTGACTCAGACCAATCAAGAGCTGAAGATCCTCGATCCGAAGAGACTTCGGCCGAATCGGTTCTTAGCATGAGCAATCCCGAGTACCATGTTTTAGCAGTGGATGACAGCATTATTGACCGAAAAGTCATCGAAAGACTTTTGAAAACTTCATCTTATAAAGGTGCGGAGTATTTCCTGATCTCCTTACTGCAATAAACTCATGCTAAGTTTGCGAACTGTGTTTGTCTAATCAGAGAGGGTTGAACAATGCACTGATAAGTTGTTTGCTTTGCAGTTACAACTGTGAACAGTGCCTTGCGGGCATTGGAGTATCTTGGGCTTTCTGAAAGCTGCTCAACCTCAGTCAAGGCCAATGTAAGTCTCAGTTTGCTCCAACATCTCAACTACTTCAATGTTATGCTGTGGAAGGTGTGCTGCGATGCCGTCGTGCGGTGGGTTTCTTGTGCTGGAGAATTTTTTTGATGGCCTCACTGATTTAATTCTACATGTCATCTGCAGAAAGTTACAGTGAATCTAATCATGACGGATTATTGTATGCCGGAGATGACTGGATATGACCTCCTCAAAATAGTGAAGGTATCAATCCTCTGACCAGTTCTGGCTTGAATGTTAGATACATAGGACTGTTCCATTGTGTGAGATGTGAGATGTGAAATAGGGTTTCTCCTGGATTGTAACTATTACCCTATCTGCAGCTTCTTAATGACAAAGTATATTTGAAATACCACCTAATCATGCGCGAATGTTGTGCAAATTCTAAGAACATTCTTTTCGTTCTATTTTTATGATCATTTTGAAGTTGTGATGATTAATCTTCATGTTTGTGGCTTTCTATTGCAGGCAGAAACCTCAGCTTTCAAGGAGTTGCCAGTTATAGTGATGTCATCTGAAAATGACAGTAACCGAATTAAAAGGTACATACAATTTTCAGTACATTTCATGTCAGACGTGAAATAATCGCCAATTCAAAACTTACAATTGAACTTTAGTGCGTTCACACCTGTGCTTATATGTTCTTGTTGTTTGTCATGCAGGTGCCTAGAAGAGGGTGCTAAAGAGTTTCTCATCAAACCTGTACAGATTGAAGATGTTCAGCGTCTGCATGGTCACATTAGACTCGCCTCCGCATCATCTGGATCCAGTGATAGTTCAAATACTTCGACTTGTGCGAAGAGAAAAGCTCCTGATGGTTTGCAACCAAATAGCCCTGTAAGAAGACCAAGATATGAAGGAGTGGCTGTTGCTTAAGGCAAACATTTAAGTGGTCTCTGCTTTTTTATCATTTAAAACTAAGGTCAGATGCAGGACTGGGATTAGAATTTCATTCAATTTTCAAGGTTGGACCCGAGACGATTGGAGGAACTACAGGTGGACTGAGGCTCTCCTTGTTGAAGATTTCTCTTACAAATTTTGTGCACTTGTGAATATCTTAGTCAGCAACCTCAAGATGAAGTATCGTATCGATAGACGAAGATTTCAGGATCTCGACGTCATGAAGTGTAGACTTTGAAAGTAAAAACTTTCTGAAGGCGTACGGAGCCAGAGATCAGAAGATCAGAACATCTCTGGACAAAGATAGAACTAAGATCAGAAGATGGACAAAGCAAGGACGAAGATGGAACCAAGATATTCTGAAAGAGCCTGTGATTGTGTTCATGGAAAAGAAAAGAAATCTTCATCTGATCTCAGACAATGTGTACTATAGATTATGCAGCAACAGTAATTCCTGATTTTTTTGGCCCACACTAGCCTAGAAATCACGGCTAGTCAGGTTTTCTGTTTGGAATAGGACAGCTCCGTAGTACTCGCTCATGCCACGTCTCTGTGGTACCACCTTCAGAGCAGTTTTTTCATAAGCCTCCGAAGGATGTTAAAGACCTTTTGCTACTTTCATCACAATCCAAATTGCAAAGTCCTCTAATTTTTGCTTGTTGGCTTAATCGGCCAACGGGATGGGCTGACTTCAGTTCAAACTTTCACGAATATCCGATGTCTCCTGATACGATGAATCATGTTTGTGTAACGCCTTTTTTCTCACGTACAAGTCTCACGTTTTCTTTTGAAATCACGCTGGATTCTCCTCTTGTCACATCTGCCCCCTTCGCTTGAAACCTGGAGGTGTACTTCAAGATTTATCCTAATCTTCATTCTGCCACACCTCCTACCTCTTCCTCGCAACATCAATCCTACCTTTCAGCAGAACTGAGACGCGTCTACCTCCTTGGATCTGTTGCATTCCGTGGGCATGCTTCATCAGTCGCTCCTGTTGGAAGATTCGTTTTCTGTAGATAGTCAGGGTTCCTAAGGAGAACACCTTGCATATACAGCATGTGAGATTTTTGTGCCGTGCCAGTTCCGTTGAAAGAGAGTGTTCAATTTCGCTGCGGAGCGACCTGAATCTATTGCATCCAACTTCAGGCTGATTGGGTTCACGGCAATTCGGAGGACGATGCGGAGGACGATCGAGGAGATGGTAGGCGACGTATGGATCTGGGTTCTGATTACGATGGTTGTGGCTGTGATTGTGGGAGTTGGGATCGATAAGAAGACCAAGAGGGGGTTGAAGCTGCCGCCGGGGCCGCCGGCATGGCCCGTCGTCGGGTGCTTGGCGTCGTTGCCTGCCGGGCATCCCCCGGAGGTGATGTTTGCGAAGCTCGCGGAAAAGCACGGGGAGCTGATGCTACTGTGGTTGGGCTCCAAGCCGTATGTGGTTGCGTCGAGCGCGCGGATGGCTATGGAGTTTCTCAAAAGACACGACCAGGAGTTCGCGAACCGGCCCATGAGCGTTGTCCGCGAATACGTCTCCTTCAAAGGGAATTCCATCATCTCGATGTCCGCCAGCGATCCTAAATACCAGCGTCTGCGGCGCACGTTTGTTATGGAGCTCTTATCACCCAAAAAGATTGCTGCAACGAGAGATCTGAGGAAGGACCAGGTCAGTCCGTGAATTTCATGGCCTCAATCTCTTTGGAACAGTCGATTCTCATCAGGTTTTGTTTGAAACTGGGAATTCATTAGCACCAGCAAGCTGAGACTTATTCTAGGACTGGCAGAAAATGTAGGTGCTGAAAATGTTGCGAGCAATTCGTGAAGATTTAGATGCGAAACACGAAGCCAATTTCACTGAAGCCGTTCTAACTCTGGGTATGAGCCTCAGCATTGGCCTTCTATTTGGAAGGGACTATGGCGGTAAGGTCTTCTCCGAGGAGATCCAGACCTTGGTGCTTACATTTAAAACGGTAATCAGTCGCATCACTTCATTTTGGTGAATCGTTCTCTATTTTGGAACACAATGCTAGGTCTGCCCTGGATGTTCTCTCAATCGTTGGGGTTCAAATGTACAGATGGTAAAATATTTATCAATGATAAACATCAGCGACCTCATTCCATCGCTTCGGTGGCTCGATCTCCAAGGCATCGAGCGTGGGCTCGGGCTTGGGGAGGTCCAGCTGCGGAAGAGTATTATGGCTTTGATTGAGCAGAAGCGACTGGATAAAATTAGGTTGTCATCGGACGAGATTGAAAGTGGCGCCTGCCAAAGGGATATCTTGAGCAAGCTCTTGTCACTCGAAGGCGAGGATCGTTTGGACGATGACCAGCTAATGGGAGTTGTCTTTGTATGTACACTTCACTTTCCTCGTCCAACCTAACGCTCTCCACCTCCAATTGGTCCCATATGCATTTTGGGTTGTCGACGACACGCATTTTGAGAAGATTGGGACAAATTCTAAGTCCAGAAGCTGCTCAGATTGGTCATGGTAGAGAGGGCTTTCCATACCTCCTAGAGTGGGTTTCATGAATTTCATCACGTTAAGATTCTATGATCCTTAAAAGTTAGACGTGAGATTTCTTCTCCAACAGTTGTTTGAAATTTCAAGCAATGTGGCAGGCCTTAATGCTAGCAGGAAGCGACTCGATATCCAGAGGGGTTGGAAGAGCCATGCAAGAGCTTTTAAAGCAACCGCTTCTCCACCAGAGGGCTCTTGACGAGCTTGACGAAGTTGTTGGCAGGAGGCGCCTTGTTGAAGAATCGGACATCTCTAGCCTACCTCTCATCAACAACATCATCAAGGAGACGCTCCGCTTGCACCCACCAGCCCAGCTCCTTATCCCGCATGGTAACGTCGAGCAGTGTGAAGTTGCAGGATACCATATCCCTGCGAGATCCACTGTGCTTGTGAATTTGTACGCTTTGAGTCGAGACCCTTCCTTCTGGAACTCACCTTTAGAGTTTGCCCCGGATCGCTTCGTCGACTCCAATCTTACCGTGCAGGGAAGTGACTTTCATTACATTCCCTTTGGTTATGGCAGACGTGGATGCCCTGGACTTAACCTCGGTATGATCACCGTTCAATATGCCCTCGCTTTGTGCCTGCAGTGTATTCTCTGGCGCCTTCCTGCTGGTGCTACGATCAGTGAGACTTACATAGATTGGAAGAATTCTCCGGATCTTATTGTAGATGGAGACCTGCGTGTCGATCTTCATCTTCTTGAGGGGCTCTAGCGATTGGTAGAGATGAGTTCTTGCATTGCTTGCTGTTCCTGAGCTGTTCGAAATATAAAACTTTACTTGCTATCCACTTGGTGCAGGTGGGCTCGATTACTGTACAGTTTAGCCAACGGTTTTAACACAGTGCTATGAAGTTATGTCTGTGGAGTCGTCATTTACATCCCTGACAAGCACTTTCTTGACTCTTCTATTGAAGAGTCAATTCTAGCAGTTGGCGGTCGCTTGATCGCAGGTTGATGCAAGATTGCAGGCATTACCTACTGCACATGTGGCGCATGTTCTGGTTTCTGGAAGATGCCTTTTGTATATATACACATTTCAGATGGCAATGCAGCTAATATCGAGGCTGCGGTAGAGGCTCGATGATCTCTTCCATGACTCGGTTGTGGATGATCACTGCAATCGCTCACTGGTGTTATCTCATTGCTCTTTCGGAATGCTAACACACGTATTTTGAAGCTCAAAACATTTTCAATGTATTGACATGCATAAATGATGTACCATAGTGACGCTCTGTAAGCAACCGTGTTTGTGCTCCAAAGGATCGTACCAAGTGACCCCGTGTAATAATGTTACATGTCACTGCTTGCAATACTCTTCGTAATATTTGTCTTCAATTCGAAAGCTGCAAGCCCTGGCAGGATGCGGTCGGTGGGAGTTACGACGCCGAGACCATCATTTCGCAGGTCATAACAGCAGCTTCGTACTCAGGGTCCTCTCTTACCCTCGGGTCCACGGCTGTCACGCTCGCGACAGTACGAGTAAGGCGAGAGTTGAGGAATCTGATCTGTGCGACGAGGCAGCTCATAACAGCAAAGACAAGCTCTGCTCCGAAAAGTTCCAGGCAACATTCAAATCAAAATATTGCATTTAAAGCAACGTGACCAGACTGCTTCGAAACCTACTGGTTATACCAGGCAATAATGTTGCAGATTCTTGATATCACACACTAAAATGCTACTTATGTGCGTCTCTTCATGAAGTACGAGACAGTAGACTGATCGAAATAATGAAATTTTTATTAAAGGAAGGCGAGATTGTCTGCGTGCCTTCTGCAGACTTGAGGATGTGATAAATGATCAGCAGGTTTGTCTGCGTAATAACGAATCATGTACGGATATGTGCAGAGAAGTTCTGGAAGGGAGATCCTATACCAAGTCTGTCACAGCATCAGCCTGAAGGTCATCGAGACGGTGCAGATATGTGGAGGTTTAAGAAGCTGCTGCTGCATGGTTAGTCAGATGTTCAATAAGTTGTCGCCACCACCACTTTCAAGCTTTTGTCCTGGGGGCAGCCTTACGCCAAATGGTTTGATTATGCTTTGTTTTCTGTGTCAAATTGATTCACCTTCCCCGCTCTGCAGCTCATCCCTGCCTTGAATTTGTAACGAATATTCCATGTTATCCTGGTAAGCGACCAAATAATGTTTTCAGAACAGAGCTCTGTCTGGATCTATTATGCACGACAATTTTCTGAGAATTGAGTGATACTATATTCACAAGTAGTCAGTTCACCTTAAGTGTGAGAAAAGAAGGTGGTATTACATTTGATTGCTGTGCAGAATGCTTCATCAGAGTCTCAGAATCTTGTCTTCCTTTTCAAATAAAAATTAGACTGGATAACTGAGCCTTGACTCAGCCGCTGATGCATCCTCGAAAGTTGGAGGGATTAGGCGCAGCTGTGGCCGCGTGTTACAGCTAAGTAATCACGGATTAGCGTTTTTATTTTTTTTAGGAATAGAATAATGACATCTTAAGGACAAGGCAAGATGACACAAATTGTGGAAGCTGTGAAGGCAATCAAAAAGGGAGATGGACTCTATTCAACTGGAGTCTTAACTGGTAAGTTATTTCTTGATGGTTTTTCTTGCAGCTATGTGGGTTTTAATTTTAATTTTAATTTTTTCCTTCTTCTTCTTCTTCTTCTTCTTCTATGGTTAAAACCGCCTTTAGGGAAGTTCTGGATGATAATGAATGTTAAAGCTAAATTAGTATTCCTGGTTAGCCATGTGATTATGACTTGCTATTTTAGGGGTAATCAAATGTTGGATTTTCTTTTCACTGGCTCTTGCAACTAATATTAAAAGTGCAATGATTTTTGTATTTTACTAAAACATTGGAAAAAGGTTATTTTTATTGAAATGCAAACTTTGCAAATACAATAAAAAAGGTGTTGATTGTTTCTCTATATCTCACAATATGAAGGCTTTGTGTCTTTTAAGATTGGGAGTCTAATTTTATTGGTAATACAAGTTAGAACTTGGGGGATTTTAAAGGTCAAAAATCTATTTTTTCAAAATGGATGTCTAATAAATTTTAAGGTTATAATATAAGCATTTGTCAACAAAAAGACAAGTGAGTTGTGTTTTTTGCTTAGTTTTAAGTTGCAATGAAGGATGGAATTTGAAGGTATATGTAATCAATTCCATGATGATTTTTTTAAAGAAAAGAATCTATTGAAAATGATTGCAACAATGTATTCTTTGTTAATTTTTAAAAATAATCATAGTATTAAAAACTAAAAAGTGATTGATTGATCTTTAATCCAAATAAAGACATAAGTATGGAAAAACATAAAATAAGAGAAATCTAAGCTTTGAATCTAAGCAAGTAGATAAAATATAAATTTAGAAGATACATAGATGTGTTTATAAAAACTCAATTTGAAGGCATATAAAAATTTAACTTATGTTAACAAATTTACAATGGTATGTATTATATATCTATATCAAATAAACATAAAAGAAATACAAGATATTAGGAGACATCTAAATATGGCTTGATGGTTGTTTAAAAAGTATGAAAAATATTGTTCTAAGACAATAGTTAAATATTGATGCATTAATGAGATTTTAGTCTAAAAAAAATACAATCAAATAGATTAGTACAAAATAATCAATAATAGAATACAAAAAAAAAAAAATATAGAGCTTCAACTTCAAATTATAACTAATATAAAATAGAATAATAATATAAAAAATTAAGAAGAAGGAACACTAGAATATATAAAGATACAAAAAGAAGAAATTATTCTACTATTGTTAATCATAGGTAAGAATATATTAGTTCCAGAAAAAATAAAAAATACTTATGAATACCTTAGATAGATGATATGTCTTGTAAATGCTACTTCTATGTATTTGATAAATTACCGCCATAACTAGAAGAATTAGAATAACCATTGAAAACTAAAATGCATTCCAAAGTAGAAGAATCTTGAAATAGAAACATTTATAATGCTAATTGGATTTGTAATCCTATCAATGACTACAAAAGGCAATAAATATATCTAATTGAATAAAACTATATAAAGAAAGAAAGATTAAGATTTTAAAAATAGATTGTCACTAATTAGTGGCTTTCAAAATTAAAATGATTGCAAATAAAATTCTAACAATGTGTAGAAGTGATTAACCAAATCAATAAATAAGTTGAAGATGGACCAAATAAAGATACATTGCATAAATAATTACCTTGGATGGAATAGATTCTTATCTAAAAATAAGAAATAAAATATTATTTGATTTTATAGTGTGATTAATTAGATTATGCTAAAAAAATTTATATCAAAGCTAAAAAATAAAAAATAATTTATTAAAAATTTTATCTAAAAAGCATAGCAATAAAAGAAGTAGAAGCTCTATTCAATAATTTTTTTATTACACTATCTATTTATACATAACTTTAATGAAGTTCTTGACAAATAAAGAATATTGCAATCAATATATACAAAATGTGAATTCTTTACATAATATATATATTGATTCAAATCTTGGAACAAAACTTTACTTATGAAGCCAATACACAAAAAGAATGTATGATGACATTAGTCAATAGAAAGATGATTTTTTAAATAAAAGATATATAAGTAGCTAATAGTAGAAAAATACATAATATTATTATCTAATCAAAATATTCAATCTTTTTTTTTATATATATATTTTTTATTTAAGGTGATTTAAGATCTAAAAAGTAAGTATATATTTTATTTCTTTGATCTTATTTAATATATATATGTCTATTTTTCAATGTTTAAAAATTTGAGATATTGGAAAAAATAAAGTTTTTGACGAAGATTCCTATAATCATGAAAGTAAAAGAAAGTTTGAGAACCAAAGAGAAGAAAAACACGATTTTTTCTAAAATAATTGAAACAAGTAGTTTAAAGTTTTTTTTTATTCCTTACTTATTATATGTTGAGTTACAAAATATGATATATGATACTGAAAGTTTAAATGATAATCACAAATGACTTAATTCAAAATCTACATAATTAATATATATTTTAGTGATAATATATTTATACTCCAAGAATAAAAATTATATAAGAAGCAAGCTTATAAATTATGGAGAAATTTATAGCTTCATGCATAATTTTATGAATTGAAGGTTAAGCCATGCTATGTAAGTCATCTAAATAAAGTAGATAATAGAAGAATATATTTATTCATTTTTCTCTAATTTAAGCATAGAGTACATAATATGCAATCTTTGATGAATAACAGGATTCTTTTAACAATTTATGAGACATACTAGGTAAATGTTTTGGAGGTGGTTGTAACATATGCTTCCAAAAACTATTATAAATGCAGTAATTTGACAACAAGTATGGATTCAATTTTGAACTAAAAATAATAATGTGTATATAATATTTTAAATGGAAGTATGTTGTATTTTATATTACATATTATTATATGGTTTTTACAGCAAGGATTGGAATAAACCAAATATTTTTATTACAAAAATTGGTGCATTTATTAATTTGGACATCATACCATAAAACTTATTATATTATGACGGGGTATATATGAAGAAAAGCACAAATTTCTCCAAATACAACTTTTACCATGCCACGTATATGTACTTGGGCACTATAGGGCTTAACTGAGAAAGCAGAACTATACCAATGTCACATGACATGTACTAGCAGGCTGTAAATCTCAATTAGACACCAGATCTAGGTTTAGAAAACCCTCCATTCGCAACATGGCAGCTGCATTGAAGGATGAGAAGTAGGGGAAAATTGAAACTCTTGGAGTATCTTCAATTTGCGTGAAGCTTTGATGATTCACAACGCTAACTAAGCTGAAGTCAGCTCCCACCTTAAAAAAATTTCTTCCAGCAGCTTGTCCATATTTCCCATTTTTTGTTTGCTACTTCCTCAGATGCGATTATATACATTTCCTCTCCATGGTTCTAACTTTCTGGAATACAGAATTTTTGGGTTTCGAAACTTAGCTAACTTCCACGACATTGTACCAGAAAATAGAATTTGGCAATGATAATGTTGGAAGGAGTATACCTAGGAAGTTATATCGACTGGTATACATTTGATAATAGAGAACGACTTATCAATTTTAACTATCCGACCAGCACATATTTTGTTACATAGTACAACGGAAATTACAAAAAACGTAATTATCCAATAGTAACGAAAGTATTTCTGTTGCATTTTTTAGCAACACGCAAATAAAATAGTATGTAAATAGACTACAAATGCCAAGGGTATTTGTGTGAATAAACGATGTATCAGAACTGCTTGAATAGATCAAGTCTCATTAATATGCGTCGCTCGAAATGGTACAATAGGCCCATACTCGTCATGTTCTATGATCCTAAGCTATACAAGTTCCAAGACAAGCCAACTGTTCAACATGAGACTGTTTAGGCTGGAAATCAAGATGAAGAGTAACACATTTCAACACACAACGAGTTAGTGTAAGAAAGCAGCAAGGTACCCTCTCAGCTGATGGCATGGCGTACAAGACAATTCCTACCACAAGGCTATCCCCTTAAATCTGCCTTCAACAGAGAGGTTGAGAAAGCCGACAGTGAACGCATCAACAGCGAGTATCATCATTCCTGCAGGGGGCAAGGATCGAACATGGGAAACACGACACACAACATGCATACCAACAAAATCAATACAGTGGAACAACCGCATCAAAAAATTTTCAGAATCCAGTATCCATTGTGCTCCTCATCGGCTGCATGATGCGATCTCAAAATACCTGCACAAAAAATTTACCGGCACACTCCCTTCGCAGGTATTACCCTGATCAGGTTTTAAGGGACTCTCTCAGCCTGCTAGATGCAAGCACCCCCGGCGCCAAAAGTATTAGATACGAAACACAGGTCTTCATTACGAGGAAACAAAAAAGGGTACAGACTATCAAAGGTCACCTAAATAGAGTAAACAACACTGTGATACCTCCACCCACTATTATCCGATCAACCAACCCAACCCACGACTAACACCCAACTTGAAATTATTAATCAGCAGAAATGTTACTTGTCCTGTACACACCTAAGAACAATTACTGAACTCCGGTAATGCTATGTACATCGATACAGAACAAATTCGAATCAACTTTCTGCTGAAAAGATATTTAAGCTGATGCCGTCTCATCGTCAGTGGATGCAAGAACCAATTCAGGGTGAACATTAGGTTTGTAGTTTCCGTCCAGTTCGTTGGGAAGCCCCAAAGCCTTCAGCGCCAAGTGAGCCGCCTTCTGCCCGGATATCATCATCGCTCCGAATGTGGGTCCCTAACAGAAACAAATCAATCAATTAATCACACTACTTACAGATGATGTAATTGCAAAGAGAGAAATAATAATTACGGAAGGGGAAACCGAAGGAATGAGCACCATTCTCGGCGACCCGTCGATCTCCGCCACCTCCATGCCCGTCACGATCATCCCTGGCACCACCTCCCGCGTGTGCTTCACAATCGCGTCCTCCGCCGCGTTCATGTCCAGGCACTTCATCCCCGGCACGCTCTCGATCATCCCGATGCTCCGCAGCCGCTTCACCCCGGTCGCCCCGAATGGCCCGTCGTGCCCGCACGACGACACCACCACCTTCGCCTCCATCACGTTCGGGTCCATGCACGACTGTGTGTTGTGGTTCTGCGCCACCAGCGCCCAGTTCGTCACCACGCCCGACACCCGGTCGCCCCGGATGATCAGATCCTCCGCCGCCACCGCGTTGAACAGCTTCACGTTCGGCCGCGCCAGCAGCTTGCTCATGATCGTGGACGTGAACAGCGCCGCGTGCTTGATCACCACGTAGTTCTCCATCTCCTCGTACGGCACCTCGATCTCGTCCAGGAACCGGTGCGCCGGCTTGCGTACGATCATGGCCGAGAACAATTGCCCGCCTAACCACGCGCCTCCTCCAGGCGACACCGACTGCTCCACGATGGCCACCTTCACGTTGGGGTTCTTGGACAGCTCGTACGCGCACGACAGCCCCGCGGACCCAGCACCCACCACCACCACGTCGGTGTCGGCGTGGGTGATCATGTCGGTCATGTAGCGCCGGGTCATCTCGCGGGCCACAATGGACTCCTTGATGGGGGCGAACTTGTAGTTGTTCAGGTCGTAATTGGCATCGGAGTACAGCGACGCGCTGGTGGCCGGCGCGGCACAGCGCCTGAGCTGCGCCTTGCGCGAGGTGAACAGGCGGACCCCCGCCACCGAGCTCGAGCTGGACCCGACATTGCTCTTGAGCTCCACATTGGCACCCAGTCCCGTGGCCACTCCCGCAGCGGAAATGCTCATGGTCGCCGCCATTGCTTCAGACTCTGGAGGACAGAATTGCTACAGGCAAATAGACACAACAACTAGCAGGACCTGGTGCGGGTAATAAGAATGTTAGGCACAGTATAAGAAGGCACGGTGCATAGGATGAAGGCAGAAATTTTCTTAAGTAGCGCTGGGGCGAGGATGATGACAAATCTAGAAGATGCCGCCGATCCTCCCGTGAGTGATGGATTTCGGGTGAGAATTTGGCAACCTGGGTGGAGATAGCGAAAGATGGGTGCATAAGACGTGTGAGCGAAGATTCTGTTTTCGGAGGCTCTGGAACAGCGACGACGGTTATGGATGCTGCATCTCTTTTCACCGGGTTCTATGCGTCAGATATTTATGGCTTGGGCACCCAATCCCATTCTGTCTTTTCTGAATGGATTCTTTACACATGGGATCTAAAGATATGCGTTTAAACCCATTATGTGGATGAAGCAGAGAGGAAAAGTGGGTTATCAGTAAGATCAAGGTGTAATTTGTTTAATGTTAAACTAGAAGACAGCATATTGCATGGCTACTTTTTTGGGTCACTTTCTCTCGAGTATATCTTTGAAACGGTCAATGATAAGTTCTTCTTTCTCAAAGGAGATTATTCCTATTGTGTTGTGCTCAGCATATGTATACCATTTAGAATGTGCCAAGCTTTTTACTTAATTGAGAATTTACTATGTTATTACATAAATTTACTGTGCTATTACATAAATTTCGTAGATACATCAAGTTTGATTTCATATATACAGTGATAAACAAAACCGAGTACAAAATCTGAAGTGCCAACTTTCAAGAGCAATTACAGAAATTTCAATGATTGCTTTATAAATCTGAAAGTTACATGGAATAATACACTCAGTCTCGTACACATGTACAAAGTTGCACATCAAATTGATAACTAAACATCCTTCTATAAAGTCAAATCAACAACTATGTCTTGTACTCAGTATTGTTCAAAGAAAATCCTCAAACTTCAATATTTAGTCCAATAACCTTTTGCTTCCAAAACAGCTGAAATCCTTCTTGGCATACTTTTGTATAGTTTCTCACAATCTTTTGCATCAAAACTAGGGTAAATACTACAAACATTCTCCCACAATTCTTGAACACCTCTTGGCCTTGGAGAGACTTGGCTTAAACGCTGTTAGAGAAGGGCCCAAAAATGTTCCATTGGATTCAAATCTGGAGATTGACCTAGCCATCGAAGGAGCTAAAATGGCTGTGAAGAGAGCCAAAACTGAACACTTTTTGCCGTATGTTTGGGATCATTATCATGTTGAAAAACCACCTTAATAGGATCTAAGTTGTAATTATGTGTGGTACTTTGCAAGTAGGTTTCTAAAATTTTTTTGTACAAGTGTTGTTCCATTCTACCTTCAATTTGATACCAAGCACCCGGCCCAAAAGCAGTCATACAACCCCAAATCATAATTGAACCACCACCATGTTTGACAGTTTGACTAACATGTTTAGGTCCAAGTGTTAGGGACATAGTCCTTAGAATCTTTTAGAGACAAGTTTCTAGAACCTTCTAGAAGCAAGTCTCTCGAACCTTCTAGAAGCTTCCTAGTTGGTAGAAGTTGCTTGAGAAGCTTCCTAAATAGGAGTATATATTGGAATCGAGGCTGAAGAGTTCTTCAGTCTCGACAACACATCTCTTGGAGCTCTAGCTCACCTCTCTGGTGTTGTTCTTGTATTCATCTGATTAATCTAGTTCTTGCCAGTTCTTCTTGAATTTCTTGGTAGATATCAAGTCTGTATTCTGTGTTCGTGATAGTTTGTCAAGACTTCACTCACCTCAGATATCAGAGTTAGTTTCTTCTTTGTTAGAGTGTGGATTACCCCTCTGCTTGGAAGTGTACTAGCACTTTAGAGGTTGCGGATTACCCTCCTCTAAACTAATAATTCTTTTGTTACAATATTGGAGTCTTATTCTTCTTGGAGAGAGTGGATTACCCCTTTTCTTGAAGCTCTTAAGGCATTTTAGAGGTTGCGGAGTAACCTCCTCTAAACCAATATTGTCTTCTTGTAGAGTCATTCCTGTCCTTCTCTTAGAATGGTTGGGGGCCAAGACATTAGTATGATGGAAAGTTCAGAGTCCAAGTTAGATGCTATCATGAATGCCTTCGCTACGTTATCACAAAGAACTTCAGAGATTGAAAGAGTCGTGGCAAGGCTTCATAATGATGGAACATCTGAGATGGCACAATCTAGGTTGCACCAGCCTCAAACTTCTACACTTGGAGAAGTAACTTTACCTCAGGTTCGACAAGCACCGCTGGTTCTACAACATAAGGAACCCCGAGTTAGCCTTCCGGACAAGTTCGATGGTACACGTTCCAAGTTTCGAGGATTCATCAACCAAATCAAGTTGATAACAATTTTACAGTCCGAACGCTATCCAATAGAGGAGTCACATGTTGGGCTTGTTGGAACCTTACTTACAGGACAAGCTCTATCATGGTTTGTTCATTTGTTTGAGAAACGATCGTCCATACTAAACAACTTTGAAACCTTTTTGGAGGCATTTGCGGAAGCATTTGGTGAACACGACAAGGTTCGATGGACTACAACAAAGATCCGGTCACTACGACAAGGGATGCGTTCTATTTCAGTCTATGCATTGGACTTCAGGCAATTAGCATGCGACATCAATTGGGACGAAGAAGCATTGATGAATCAATTCTATTGGGATTTAAGGGACGATGTGAAGGATTTGTTGTTAACTCTTCCTGATCCGCAAATGCTCAACGAAGCTATTAGCCAAGCTGTGAAGTGCGATAACCGCCTATTCCAACGTCGCCAAGACCAACGTTCAAGACAACATACGGTTTGCCACACCCCAACTATGTCGGCAAGCAGTGTGAATTCACATTCAGAGGTAGAAGACATGCAAATTGATGCGGTATGTGTCAAATTTCTTACTATAGAAGAAAAAAAGCGGCGTATGGAGGAAGGTCTATGCTTGTATTGCGGTGAAGAAGGCCACAAAGTTGGAAACTGCCCCAAGAAGCAAAATCGACGTATTATCAAGACTAGGGGTGCGTTTATTTAGGAAAACGAAGATGCCCAGCTACAATAGGAACCGTGCAGCTGGATAGTGAAATATCGCAACAACAACCAGGTTCCTTTCTTTCCGTTCAACTTGCCCTTTGTTTTACAATCCCTTTGCTTATTGGCCCTCAGAAACTGAGAACCTTAGTATTATTAGATTCAAGAGCATCTGCTAGTTTCTTAGACGAAGAATTTACAAAGCGTCATATGATCCCTTTAGTACAAAAATCCAAACCTATTCACGTTGAGGTCATAGATGGACGACCTTTATTGTCTGGTAGTGTCACCCATGAATCAGAACCTGTAGAAGTGACATTTAATGACCATAGTAGTCATATTATTTTCAATATTATTAGAACCCCATCAAATCCTGTTATTCTTGGTCTTTCCTGGTTGAAAAAGCATAATCCATCCATAGATCGGAAGTTGCGGAAGATGACCTTTCCCACAAAACCACCCAAGAGCAAGCCTGGTAGAAAACCCCGAATAGAGAAATCCTTATTTATTGGAGCAAGAGTGTTTATAAGATTGTCCAAGGAAGGTACACCGTTTGTCATTTATGCGGCTCCAACTACCGGGGAGAAGATCTCGACAACAAGTATACCGGAGCAATATAAGGATTTTAAAGACGTGTTTCAAAAGAAAAATGCCGACATGCTACCGAAACACAGACCATATGATTGTGCCATAGACTTACAGGAAGGAACACAACCGCCTTTTGGCCCAATCTACAATCTATCGCAGATGGAGTTGGCGGAGTTGCGGAAGTACATCGACGAGAATCTAGCCAAGAACTTCATCCGTCATTCAAAATCATCAACTGGAGCACCCATCTTATTTGTGAAGAAGAAAGATGGCTCGTTGCAGATGTGCGTGGACTATCGAGGCCTCAACAAGGTAACAAAGAAGAATCGTTACCTGTTACCCTTGATTTCTGGTCTCTTAGAACAACTTGGACGTGCAAGGATCTTTACAAAAATTGATCTAAGGGGAGCTTACAACCTCGTACGAATTAAGGAAGGAGATGAGTGGAAGACAGCGTTTTGTACAAGGTATGGCCATTTTGAATATAATGTCATGCCCTTTGGTCTTACCAATGCTCCAGCGGTCTTTCAACATATGATGAATGACATTTTCCGAGAGTACCTTAACGATTTTGTTGTCATCTATTTGGATGATATTTTGATATTCTCCAAAAATGAGGAAGAGCATGAAAAACACGTTTGTTTGGTATTGAAGAAACTACGCGAGCGAGGACTATATGCCAAGTTGGAGAAGTGTTTATTTCACCAAATAGAGATGGAGTTTCTAGGGTTCGTTGCGACTACGAAAGGCTTAAAGATGGATCCCAAGAAGGTGGAAGCAATTGTATCTTGGGAGGTTCCGAAGACGGTTAGAGACGTACAATGCTTTCTTGGTTTTGCCAACTTCTATCGGATCTTTATCAAGAATTACTCTCAAGTTGCTGCTCCTCTCACTCGGTTGACATATAAGGATAAGCTGGAATGGGGACCTCTAGCAGAAAAGGCGTTTCAAAACCTCAAGACCGCATTTAGTACGGCTCCAATCTTGGTACATCCAGACTTTACAAAGGCTTTCTATTTAGAAACTGATGTTTCGGATTTTGCTTTGGGAGCTGTACTTTCACAAATGGGAGAAGACAAGAAGCTCCATCCGATTGCATTCTATTCTCGAAAGTTCTTTGCTGCTGAAATCAATTATGAGATCCACGATAAGGAACTTCTTGCTATAGTGGATTCTTTCTAAGAATGGTGTCACTTTCTTAAAGGAGCTGCACATCCAATGATGGTATACACAGATCACAAGAATTTGGAGTATTTCATGTCAGCTCAAGTTCTAAATCGACGTCAAGCTCGGTGGAGTATGTTGCTATCTAGGTTCGATTTTATTATCACTTATCGACCTGGAAAGCTGCAAGGACTATCTGATGCCTTATCGAGGAGATCGTATCTTGTACCAAAGGCTGAAGAAGCAACATTTGATCAACAATGTACGACATTGTTGAAGCCAGAGCAATTTCAGCTTTGCGCTACTATTATGCCAATTGATGCTGACTTCCTGAATCAGGTACGTGCCGTAACCATTGAAGATTCAGTAGCCATTGATATTAAGTAGCGTGCCAATGATGACAAGTTCAAGG